ATGAGGAGTAGGAGGAAGAGGAAGGGAAGGAGGAGGAGGAGGAGGAGGAGGAGGAGAGGAGGTGGGGGAGGGGGAGGAGGAGGACCAGGAGGAGGAGGAGGAGGACTCGAGGGCTCGAGAACTAAGGGCAACGCGGTCGACTCCGCCGCCGCGCCCCCCTCTCCCGCGCACGCGGCGCAGGCTCGTGAGGTCGCGAGCCAGTCCCAGAAACAGGGCGGGCCTCCACCTCCCTGCCACTACCAGGGCAGAATATATCTGCGGGGCCGAAGCCCCGAGCCGCGAACTCGATCACATGCAACTTGTTGAGCCCCCACAGCACCTGGACGTAGAAGACATGGAGGCAGTGGCTCTGGGAGGTTGCCCAACCGTGCCGCCCACGACAACAGATAGGAGAGGCCTATGGATGCGCCCGCAGTTAACGTTCAATGTGATGCTCACCCTGTTGGCGCCCGTGCGTCCATTCTCCCGCAGAGCTAACAACCGCAGAACGAGGCTTCCAATCCACAAACGGCACTCTCCCATCACAGGGTTGCTGAATCCCACCAAGCCACGTACTCTTGACGCGTGAATTGTAGCGCCCTGCGCAACACACCGCAAAGTAGGACGATGACGCTAAGCAACGAGCCCCCCGACGCGGAGAAAAGCGCCCCGCAGCAGCGCACCCCATCTCCTTTCTCAAGAAGACCGCCACTGCAGGAAAAACAAGCCGTATGTGGGGCACGACTGGCCAAAAAAAGGCTCTCTCTCTCTATTCCCACAAAGCTGCAACCACCACGTGCTTGACATACTCTGAACGCTCAGCATCGGCTCGAAGGTCGGTAGCGTGTTTTCCAGAGCAATCTTCGAAACAAAATGCCGAACATCGTGCAAAACAGCCCAGTGTATGATTGCGGTTGCAACAGCACAAAGAATAAGAGACCAAAACCTGATATAGTAGGGCATGCCTGGCCAAAAAGGCTCTCTCTTCCCACTTTGCCGCTGCAAGCCCACAATGGTGCTCACCTGCTCCTGGGACCTGCAATCGATTTTGGTTACATGGTGGTCAACCTCCTAGTCCGCAGCCTGGAGGTAGAATAAACCGTACAACTTTCAGCGGCGCGACGCCTGGCGCTCTCCCTCAGGTCCGAGGCAGGTTACTGCCCGCGTATCTTAGCCCACCCGGTGCGGATTGCACGGCCACCTGGTTCGAGCCAGCTCTGGTGAGCCAAATTGGTCCGAGCCAAATGTTACTTGAGGAAGGAGGAGGAGGCGGAGGAGGAGGAGGAGGAGGAGGAGGAGGACGAGGAGGACGAGGAGGACGAGGAGGACGAGGAGGAGGAGGAGGAGGACGAGGAGGACGAGGAGGACGAGGAGGACGAGACGAGGACGAGGAGGACGAGGAGGACGAGGAGGAGGAGGGAGGAGGAGAAGGAGGAGGAGCAGCAGAGGAGGAGGAGGAGAAGGAGTGGAGGAGGTGGGGGGGGGGAGGATGAGGACGAGGAGGACGAGGAGGAGGAGGAGGAGGAGGAGCAGCAGGAGGAGGAGAAGGAGGAGGAGGAGGAGGAGGAGGACGAGGAGGACGAGGAGGAGGAGCAGGAGGACGCGGAGGACGAGGAGGACGAGGAGGACGAGGAGGACGAGGAGGACGAGGAGGACGAGGAGGACGACGAGGAGGAGGAGGAGGAAGAGGAGGAGGAGGGGGAGGAGGAGGAGGATGAGGAGGAGGAGGAGGAGGGGGTGGTGGCAGGGAGGGGGAGAGCAGGTGGAGAGGACAAGCTAGGTGCGCTCGCGTCGTATTTGTCGTCCTACCCCTTCCTCCCATCCCTTACCATGGCGTAGATCCCCTTTTAATGTCGCACAATCGGATGTCGTAGCATGACATAGCATTACATGGCATAGCATGGTGTTGAATATGGACGCGTAGCATGAAATAGCATCATGTGACGACGCCTTGGGAGACTTCTGCGGCCACCAGAATCACCGAATCCACACAGAATGTGGAATCACTTCCGATGGTTTCTTCGGGATGCCAATTTCTGGATTTGGGGGTCTATTTGGGAGGACCTGAAACCATGCCGTGGCATAAACATGGCACTGGAAATGATGATGCCAGCGCTGCAGCGGGAGCGCGATTCGGAACGAGCGGTAGCCCGAAAACGAGGCCAGCGTTTCAGCGAGAGCAGCATTTTCAACAAATGCCCATGGGCGGAAGCGCGGAAGTGAGGACGCGTAGCCTGACATAGCATGGCGTGACGACGCGCCAAAGCGGGGGGGGGCTATTGTCTAGATTTGGGGGCGTATTTGGAAGGGCCGAAGACCATGCCGTGGCATGGCACTGGAAATAATGACGCCAGCGCTGCAGCGGGAGCACGATTCGGAACGAGCGGAAGCGCGGAAGTGAGACCAACGCTGCATCGGGAGCGCGATTCGGAACGAGCGGTAGCCCGAAAATGAGAAGCGGAAGCGCGGAAGTGAGGACGCGTAGCCTGACATAGCATGGCGTGGCGACGCCCCAAAGTGCGGGGGGGGGCTTCTGCGGCCCAAAAAGTCATCGAATCGACATCGAATGTGGAATCACTTCCTATGGTGTTTCCGGGCGCCATTTCTAGATGTTTTGGCGTATTTGGAAGGGCCGAAGACCATGCCGTAGCATGGCACTGGAAATAATGATGCCAGCGCTGCAGCGGGAGCACGATTCGGAACGAGCGGTAGCGCGAAAATGAGACCAGCGCTTCAGCGAGAGCAGCATTTTGAAGAAATGCCCCAGCGAAAACCTATTTTCTGGGAACCCTGTGTATCAACAACCAGTACGCGGAGGGGTGCCAGACATTCCCGGGCGCCACCAGGGGAGAGAGGAGAGCAGTACTCGTAGTGTTTACTTGTTGAGGAGTGGAGGAGGTGGGGGAGGAGGACGCAGAGGAAGAGGGGAGGAGGATGAGGAGGAGGAGGAGGAGGAGGAGGACGAAGAGGAAGAGGAGCAGGAGTTGGAGGAGGAGGAGAAGGAGGAGGAGAAGGGGCCAGAGGGCAAGTTGGGGGGGGGAGAGGGCTGTGCTGGACAGGCGCAACGGCCCTCGCCACTCGATGTCGTCGCTTCAGCACGTGAGCCAATGGGAAGAGGAGGAGGGGGTAGGCGAGCACGGGAGATGAGGCGGAGGCGTAGGAGGAGGAGAGCTATAGGGAGGAGGGGGAGGAGGAGGAAGGGGAGGAAGAGCAGCAAGAGGAGCAGGAATGAAGGCATGAGGGTGTTCGCCGCGTGGCCGCTCAATCGACAGGGTCGCCGGTGTCTGGAACCAAGAAGATTCAATGAGGGTGATAAAGTTGGGACTGCGGATGAGGGTGATGAGGAGGCGGAGTGGGAGGAGGCAGGGAAGGATTAAGGAAGGAGGAGAAGGGAGGAGGAGCACGCTTCGAGCGGGCGGGGTACAGCAATGAACCAAGTCTATCACCAGGGTTGACCTCCTTAACGATGGCAGAAGGCAGTTGCACCTATTACCACGTATGCCGCCCCTGGGCGATTCGGATTGGCTGCTCAAGCGGGTTTCCTGTGGTGGGGTGCCTACTTCCTGGCAGCCGCCCTGAGCGCCCTGCCACGACTCAGGACACGTGGCGCAAAGTGATGTTCATCCGGCGCTGGCGTGATGGGCGCAGCTGCGACAGAAACACCCAACGGGGGCGGCACTGGGGCACGAAGATAGCCGCTCAACGCTGAGTGCGATGCGAGATGTTGGGTGACCTCCTCGGCCTCCTCCTCCCTCTTCCTCCTCCCTCCTCCTCCCTCCCCTCCCCCCCCCCCTCCCTCCCTCCCTCCCTCCCTCCCTCCCTCCCTCACCTCTCCCTCCTCCTCCTCCTCCTCCTCCTCCTCGTCCTCCTCCCCCTCCTCCTCCTCCCCCTCCCTCCCTCCCTCCCTCCCTCCCTCCCTCCCTCCCCCCCTTCCTCTCCTTCTCCTCCTCGGGAGGCAGATTCAGTTAAGCCCCATGGCACGGGCTCTATCGGTCCTCCCTCCATCCCCAGCCGCTGCGGCCGTCGAGCTCGGCCGTCCTCCTAATTCAAGAGGTCACTCAGAGGTTCTCCCCCTCCAGGTCCTCCTCCTGCAGGAGTTCTCCGGAGGTCCTCCTCATCGCTGCCCTCCGTGCTGTTGTCGTGAGGACTCGGCAGTCTACGATTCAATCGGGTGAAAATTATGACATCCTGGTTCTGCATACTGTCATGTCCGTCGAGCTTCAGACTGCCTGCAGTCAGAGTTCAGCTACGTAGCACAATTGTGATTTGAACGTCGCCTTCGCCAGGCACTCGAAGGCTCTCCCTCCCAGGATCGGGTGCTGCTGGAAGTGGTCCTGGCCCAGGGCGCCCCCCTGCGGTCCGCGCAGCCGTGGGCCCTCTGCGGCCCTCCTTGGGCCTCGTCGTGGGGTGCTCTGGAGACCGCGGGGGCCTCCGTGGCATTCATGGGGGCGTCGGGAGGGCGGCATCCCTGGAGGTCCGACATGGGGCCATCCCCCCCCCCCGCCCCTCTCTGCTAGGCTTCCCAGATGGGGTCGGAGTGGACGGGGTCAGAGGATCGCGCCGCATCGCGGATGCGGCCCGATGAGGAGCCCGATTCGCTCCACGCCGACGTCGCCGATGCACCGCCGAAGTCGCCGATGCGTGGGCGATGCGGCGCGTTCTTCAGACCCCATCTACTTGGACCCCATTTGTTCAGCAGCAAATCGTGGGAACCGTGCATGCCCTTGGAACTCCGTCTTCAGAGTGCACCAGCGTGCGCTGGCGCCTGGTGATCTGGCGTCGATCTAACGCCGTTCTAGCGTCGATTCGCATCGGTCTAACGTCGATTGATATCGTTTAGTGTCAGTTCGCGTCGATTCGCAAGAGCCAGCCAGCATGACGGCATTGGAGGCCCCCACGAGTGGCCATCCAACATTTGTGAGGTCTCATGCCCCCGCGCCCCGCCGACGGCCCCTACCACAGGCGCGGCTCCCCGGGGGCCTCGGCCTGGGCGTGAGCCGCGTGCTCACCAGGCGCGCCCACCGCCGCCAGCGGCCGCCGCCGCCGACGCCCGCCGCCGCCCGCCGCCGAAGGCCGCCCCCGAAGGCCTCCGATGGCTTCAGACGATCGTTGTCGTCGTCGCCGCGGCCGCGGCCCACCGCCTTGGGCGCCGCGTTGCCCTATGCCTCCTGGCTGGGGGGTCCGAGCAGATCGGGGTCGGAGGGTCGCGCCGCATCGTCGATGCATCGGCGATGTGGAGCCCGATGTTCACCAGGCGCGCCCGCCGCCGCCGACCGCCGCCGCTGACCGCCGCCGCCGACGCCCGCCGACGCCCGCCGCCTCGGGCCGCCTCCGAGGGTTGCCGAGGGCCTCCACTCCAGCCCTGGCGCTGCAGCCGTTTCACAACGGGGCGCCTTCGCCCGCTGTCGGCCCCTGGGGCCCTCACGGATCTGAGTGGCCTGTTTTTTTGGGGTCCGATGCTGCCAGATTGGGTACAGTGCCGTTTTTTATACATGCTCCGCGTGCGGATCACGTACTGAAAATGCAGGGAGTTCGTCTGAAACACAGCGCTGACTTCATGCATAGATTTGTTCATGCACTGATCATGTAAAACAGATCCTATATGTTTAAGAATCCGATGTATTAAAAACTGCCCTGTCACGTCGTCGTCGTCGTCGTCGTGTCATCGTCGTCGTCGTCGTCGTCGCCGTCGTCGTCGCCGCGTCGCGTCGGCGTCGTCGTCGTCGTCGCGGCCGTGGCCCGCCGCCGCCCCCAAGGCGCCGCGCGGTGCCGCCGATGGCCTGCAGGGCCGGGCTGCCGGGGCCGGGTGCGGTGTAGTCGGGGCGACAAAAAAATGGAGGCGTTTGCGTGCCAGTGGACCTGTTTTTGCGGAGTTGGGCGCCCTGGCGCGGACGGCCGAACGACCCCTGCAGCGGGACACCCTGGCCACACGGTCGCCGCCGCAAAAACTGCCCGTTCAAGGCTGGCGCCGCGCAAAGGAGGGCGCCGAAGAAGGAACCCGTCTCGTTGGCCAGGGGTTCCGTGCTTCTTACAGTCAACGCGCACAGTAAGGACAAACGATTTCTTCAAGGGTGCCCTTGGGTCCTTGCCTGCCTCAGCCTCTGCGGCCCGTCCCTAGCAATTTTCGCAGGCCAGAATACTTCAACTCTGGCCTCCAAGGGTCTTGCGTCCTTACCACGCGTCCTTATTATACGTGTTCACTGTACCTGTTCCACAGTTTTCCTCAGGTGCCCCCTTGTTGTTCGATGGGAGGTCAAAGTTTCATTTCTGGAGAGAAAAAAAAAGGACCTCGTTCCTTGGTTAGGCTTTAGGTCAGCGCCCCGATTGTATGAGGCAGGAGGGGGCGCGCTCCAGTGTTTGCCGCGGGCCCGCGTCGTTCGCCATGTCGTCGTTCCGTTCTCACTCAGGAGCGAAAGAAGCACGTACACGTACATGAATCCACGCTGGTTTCGAGAGTACGCATTGCGCGAATGTTTGTATCATGCGGCCGGTCTCGCGGATCGAGGGGCCGCGTTCATGTACATAGTTTAGCGCGCACGTCCTTTGTGGGCTCCCTACCCACCCCTCCAAGCTGCACCGCCACTGCTGGCCCCTACTTGCTTCTTCCGCCTCCCCAACGGCGAAGGCCGCTTGGGGGGGTCGAGGGGGGCCAGCGTCTGCTCCACGGACTCCGATGCCACCAGCGCCCAGCAGCGTCCCGGGGGTGGGGGATGGAGCGGGAAGAGCGGCAGCAGCAGCAGTGGCAGCAGGAGGGGGGGAGTCGCAGGACCAGGCGCAGCAGGAGCCAGGACAGTCCACGGGGCCGATGCTGGCCGACCAACAATTCGCCTGGCGAAGGACCCAACCATTAGCAATTGTGCGTAACGCGTTGTGGGTCCCGCTTTCGGTGGGGCTCCCTATGGGGCCACGAAGCGCTGCCTTGGATGGGGGAACCGCATGCGGACTGCGCCACCGGGGCGGGCCTTCGGTGGAGCTCCCTATGGGGCTACGAAACGCTGCCCTGGGTGGGGGAACCGCATGCGAACTGCGCCACTGGGGCCTTCGGTGGAGCTCCCTATGGTGCCACGAAACGCTGCCCTGGGTGGGGGAAGCGCATGCGAACTGCGCCACGGGGGCTTTCGGTGGAGCTCCCCATGGGGCCACGAAGCGCTGCCCTGGGTGGGGGAACCGCATGCGACAGCCACTGGGGCCTCCGGTGGGGCTCCCTATGGGGCCACGAAACGCTGCCCTGGGTGGGGGAACCGCATGCGAACACCCCCACTGGGGCCTTCGGTGGAGCTCCCTATGGGGCTACGAAACGCTGCCCTGGGTGGGGGAACCGCATGCGAACACCCCCACTGGGGCCTTCGGTGGAGCTCCCTATGGGGCTACGAAACGCTGCCCTGGGTGGGGGAACCGCATGCGAACACCCCCACTGGGGCCTTCGGTGGAGCTCCCTATGGGGCCACGAAACGCTGCCCTGGGTGGGGGAACCGCATGCGAACACCCCCACTGGGGCCTTCGGTGGAGCTCCCTATGGGGCTACGAAACGCTGCCCTGGGTGGGGGAACCGCATGCGAACACCCCCACTGGGGCCTTCGGTGGAGCTCCCTATGGGGCCACGAAACGCTGCCCTGGGTGGGGGAACCGCATGCGAACACCCCCACTGGGGCCTTCGGTGGAGCTCCCTATGGGCCACGAAACGCTGCCCTGGGTGGGGGAACCGCATGCGAACACCCCCACTGGGGCCTTCGGTGGAGCTCCCTATGGGGCCACGAAACGCTGCCCTGGGTGGGGGAACCGCATGCGAACAGCCACTGGGGCCTGGAGCTCCCGGTGGAACGCTCCCTATGGGGCTTTCGGTGGACGAAACGCTGCCCTGGGTGGGGGAACCGCATGCGAACACCCCCACTGGGGCCTTCGGTGGAGCTCCCTATGGGGCCACGAAACGCTGCCCTGGGTGGGGGAACCGCATGCGAACACCCCCACTGGGGCCTTCGGTGGAGCTCCCTATGGGGCCACGAAACGCTGCCCTGGGTGGGGGAACCGCATGCGAACTGCGCCACTGGGGCCTTCGGTGGAGCTCCCTATGGTGCCACGAAACGCTGCCCTGGGTGGGGGAAGCGCATGCGAACTGCGCCGCGGGGGTTTTCGGTGGAGCTCCCCATGGGGCCACGAAACGCTGCCCTGGGTAAGGGAACCGCATGCGAACACCCCCACTGGGGCCTTCGGTGGAGCTCCCTATGGGGCTACGAAACGCTGCCCTGGGTGGGGGAACCGCATGCGAACACCCCCACTGGGGCCTTCGGTGGAGCTCCCTATGGGGCCACGAAACGCTGCCCTGGGTGGGGGAACCGCATGCGAACACCCCCACTGGGGCCTTCGGTGGAGCTCCCTATGGGGCACGAAACGCTGCCCTGGGTGGGGGAACCGCATGCGGACACCCCCACTGGGGCCTTCGGTGGAGCTCCCTATGGGGCCACGAAACGCTGCCCTGGGTGGGGGAACCGCATGTGGACACCCCCACTGGGGCCTTCGGTGGAGCTCCCTATGGGGCCACGAAACGCTGCCCTGGGTGGGGGAACCGCATGTGGACACCCCCACTGGGGCCTTCGGTGGAGCTCCCTATGGGGCCACGAAACGCTGCCCTGGGTGGGGGAACCGCATGTGGACACCCCCACTGGGGCCTTCGGTGGAGCTCCCTATGGGGCCACGAAACGCTGCCCTGGGTGGGGGAACCGCATGTGGACACCCCCACTGGGGCCTTCGGTGGAGCTCCCTATGGGGCCACGAAACGCTGCCCTGGGTGGGGGAACCGCATGTGGACACCCCCACTGGGGCCTTCGGTGGAGCTCCCTATGGGGCTACGAAACGCTGCCCTGGGTGGGGGAACCGCATGTGGACACCCCCACTGGGCCTTCGGTGGAGCTCCCTATGGGGCCACGAAACGCTGCCCTGGGTGGGGGAACCGCATGCGGACACCCCCACTGGGGCCTTCGGTGGAGCTCCCTATGGGGCTACGAAACGCTGCCCTGGGTGGGGGAACCGCATGTGGACACCCCCACTGGGGCCTTCGGTGGAGCTCCCTATGGGGCCACGAAACGCTGCCTGGGTGGGGGAACGCATGTGGACACCCCCACTGGGGCCTTCGGTGGAGCCCTGGGCCTGCATGGGGAACCGCATGTGCCCTGGGTGGGGGGGCCTTCGGTGGAGCTCCCTACTGGGGCCTTCTCCCTATGGGGCCACGAAACGCTGCCCTGGGTGGGGAACCGCATGTGGACACCCCCACTGGGGCCTTCGGTGGAGCTCCCTATGGGGCTACGAAACGCTGCCCTGGGTGGGGGAACCGCATGCGAACACCCCCACTGGGGCCTTCGGTGGAGCTCCCTATGGGGCCACGAAACGCTGCCCTGGGTGGGGGAACCGCATGCGACACCCCCACTGGGGCCTTCGGTGGAGCTCCCTATGGGGCTACGAAACGCTGCCCTGGGTGGGGGAACCGCATGCGAACACCCCCACTGGGGCCTTCGGTGGAGCTCCCTATGGGGCCACGAAACGCTGCCCTGGGTGGGGGAACCGCATGCGACACCCCCACTGGGGCCTTCGGTGGAGCTCCCTATGGGGCTACGAAACGCTGCCCTGGGTGGGGGAACCGCATGCGACACCCCCACTGGGGCCTTCGGTGGAGCTCCCTATGGGGCCACGAAACGCTGCCCTGGGTGGGGGAACCGCATGCGACACCCCCACTGGGGCCTTCGGTGGAGCTCCCTATGGGGGAAACGCTGCCCACCGCGACAACTGGGGCTGGAGCCCTGGGTGGGGGAACCGCATGTGGACACCCCCACTGGGGCCTTCGGTGGAGCTCCCTATGGGGCCACGAAACGCTGCCCTGGGTGGGGGAACCGCATGTGGACACCCCCACTGGGGCCTTCGGTGGAGCTCCCTATGGGGCTACGAAACGCGTGAGAGGTGTGCCGAGAGCAGAGGCAAGGAGGGGGAGGAGGGAGGAGGGGGAAGAGGAGGAGAGGAGAGGACGCGGGCACCGTCTCTTCAAAACGAGGACCCAACACCACAGGATGGTTGGGAAAAAATGGAGGCGTTTGCGTGCCAGTGGACCTGTTTTTGCGGAGTTGGGCGCCCTGGCGCGGACGGCCGAACGACCCCTGCAGCGGGACACCCTGGCCACACGGTCGCCGCCGCAAAAACTGCCCGTTCAAGGCTGGCGCCGCGCAAAGGAGGGCGCCGAAGAAGGAACCCGTCTCGTTGGCCAGGGGTTCCGTGCTTCTTACAGTCAACGCGCACAGTAAGGACAAACGATTTCTTCAAGGGTGCCCTTGGGTCCTTGCCTGCCTCAGCCTCTGCGGCCCGTCCCTAGCAATTTTCGCAGGCCAGAATACTTCAACTCTGGCCTCCAAGGGTCTTGCGTCCTTACCACGCGTCCTTATTATACGTGTTCACTGTACCTGTTCCACAGTTTTCCTCAGGTGCCCCCTTGTTGTTCGATGGGAGGTCAAAGTTTCATTTCTGGAGAGAAAAAAAAGGACCTCGTTCCTTGGTTAGGCTTTAGGTCAGCGCCCCGATTGTATGAGGCAGGAGGGGGCGCGCTCCAGTGTTTGCCGCGGGCCCGCGTCGTTCGCCATGTCGTCGTTCCGTTCTCACTCAGGAGCGAAAGAAGCACGTACACGTACATGAATCCACGCTGGTTTCGAGAGTACGCATTGCGCGAATGTTTGTATCATGCGGCCGGTCTCGCGGATCGAGGGGCCGCGTTCATGTACATAGTTTAGCGCGCACGTCCTTTGTGGGCTCCCTACCCACCCCTCCAAGCTGCACCGCCACTGCTGGCCCCTACTTGCTTCTTCCGCCTCCCCAACGGCGAAGGCCGCTTGGGGGGGTCGAGGGGGGCCAGCGTCTGCTCCACGGACTCCGATGCCACCAGCGCCCAGCAGCGTCCCGGGGGTGGGGGATGGAGCGGGAAGAGCGGCAGCAGCAGCAGTGGCAGCAGGAGGGGGGGAGTCGCAGGACCAGGCGCAGCAGGAGCCAGGACAGTCCACGGGGCCGATGCTGGCCGACCAGCCCTCGTGCAGTGCCGGCGTCGTGCCGCGCGAGTGCGAGACGTCACCCCGAGAAAACTCCCGCTTGGCACTGGCGTGCTCTCGAATTTGGCCTTGGTGTTCACTGCCGCCTGCCTGTGCTCTCGTCAGTGCTCGGATGTGCTCGGACCACGGGACAGGGGCCGGGTTCCACATTTCATTCGGGAGTGCTGCGCTGTCTTCGCCTGTGTCGGGGAAACGTAAGGTTCGAGTATCGGAGGCGACGATTGGGGCGAATAGCCCAGGGGGGAGCAATACATGTCTCCGGGGGCGCCGATGGTGCATGTCTTCGGTGAGGCTCCCGGGCCAATGCGTGTAACGCCCGCCCCTCCGTTATTCGCCCCTATCGTCGCCCCCGAGAGTAAGCCGGAATTTCGGTTTTCCGAAGTTTCTTGACAAGCGCGTCCTGGATTTTGACGGTCTAGTTTTTGTGGGATGTTTGCAGCGGGAATTCGTGTCAAATTTCAGATTGGGTCTCGTCATTTTTATGATGGCCTCGTCAGGCCAACCCGAGTCCCCCGTACCCGAGTGTTGTGGACGACGATAAATTGAGAGGAAGCATGTTGCCCAATTAGTTTTCAGTTGTCTTCTACATGCTTACACATGTCCTAGAACATGCTTCAAATATTTTGAAAACACATCGCTAGTTCAATGATGGGATTGTTGGGGTGTCCACTCCCATGGCATCCACGGCCCGAGTCGCACGCCTCCCCGACAGTGAGAGGCAGCAGCACCGTCATCAGCAGTCCTGCGATACAGTCGGGGCGCCGAAGAAGGAACCCTTTTGGTTGGGGAGGCGCTCCGCGTTCCTTAAGTGTTTCACAGCTTGCCCAAGGTTTTCCTTATGTTTGCGATGGGAAGTCGAAGTTTCACTTATGGAAAAAAAGGGGCCTCGTTCCTTATTTAGGGTTCCTTAGGTCAACGCCCCCTGCGCAGTCGACCGGCCTCTGCGCTGCCACCCCGCCGAGCAGCGCCGCGCCCGCGGCTTCCTGGCAGGCCGGAGGGGCCCTCGGCCTCGCCGGGGCAGCCCGGGAGTTCCGCTGTCGACGGAGCAGCCCTCGTTCGGCTACACGTAAGAATTTAGGAGGGAAAAAAAACACACACAGACACAATTAATCGTCGACCCCCAAGAAAATATGGGAAAATATGGGAATGGGGCGGGAAGACAAAAACCCAGAAAATATGAGGAAATATGGAGCGCCATTTTACTTGTGTGTATTTATGTGTGTGTGTGTGTGTCCTTGTGCCCCTTGAAGAATGACCTTTCGCCGGAGTGACCTTTGGTGCGGGCCCAACGGGGTCCCCCGATCGCCGAGCGCGATGCGGTAGTAGCGTTTTGCGCGCTCGTGTTTGGTCCCCCCGCGGCCCCCAAAGAGCCGCGCACCAAAGGTCACTCTTACCCAGGGTCACTCTTGCATGTAGTCGACTCGTGTCAAGTCGGGCATGTCCCTCTGCAGGAGGACAATTCGAAAAGTTCACAAACAAGTCAGAGGAGAAAACAACATTGAAAGTTTGACAAACATCTTTCAATATTTGACAAATAAGATTTCCAACATTGACAAACAATTCAGAGGAATATTTAAAACATTGACAAACCTCAAAGATACCTATACCTCTACCCGTCCCTCGTTTTCTATATTTTTGTTCGCCTCCCGGGCGGCCCTCGTCGTCACCGGTGGATTCGCCCTGAAATCTTGAACAGAACGCACCCTGAGAGAGGTCCAGGGAGTAGCGGTATCGGTACCTTTGGGTTTTTTTTCAGAAATATGGAGTTGATTGTTCCCTACCTAGGCTCTGCCTAGAAGGGTTCTTACTCTCTAGCTTAAAGGGGCCGGGCAATGGAAAGCGCCCCGGGCGGTTCCCCCAGTCCCCTGGGAGCGGTTCCCCCCAGTCCCCTGGGAGTTTTAGCTTTAGCTTTAGCTTTAGCTTAGCTTTAGATTTAGCTTTAGCTTAGCTGTAGCTTAGCTTTAGCTTAGCGTTTCGCTTAGCGTTTTGCTTAGCTTTTCGCTTAGCGTTTAGCTTAGCTTTAGCTTAGCTTTAGCTTAGCTTTAGCTTAGCTTTAGCTTAGCTGTAGCTTAGATTTAGCTTAGCTGTAGCTTAGATTTAGCTTAGCTTTAGCTTAGCTGTAGCTTAGCTTCAGCTTAGCTGTTGCTCAGCTTGAGCTTAGCTTTAGCTTAGCTTTATCTTAGCTTTAGCTTAGCTTTAGCTTAGCTGTAGCTTAGCTTTAGCTTAGCCTTAGCTTAGCTTTAGCTTAGCGTTGGCTTAGCTGTGGCTTAGCTTTAGCTCAGCTTTAGCTCAGCTTTAGCTTAGCTTTAGCTTAGCTTTAGCTTAGCGTTACTGTTTCTACTAATGCTGCTTTCCTAGGGGTTCCAACTCCTAGGTAGGGCCGCACTGGGATAATTTGAATATGTTTGACTATGTTGGACGTGTTCTACCTTTGGAAGAGGAAACAACGCCACAAACATAAGCTTTTGGCGCTCCGCGCGGACTTCTTGGATCCGCGATGGGGCCCCTAGCAAGAGAACGGGTTTGTCTGTGCTGACATTCGCGCGGAAGTTTCCCGCGCAAGGTCCCGCGTGAGCGCCCCCGCTGCCAAGATGCTGTGCTGCGCTGGCGGCCCGCGTGAGCCGCGGCGTGGCGTCGCAGTGCCACCTCGCCGAAGACATTTTTTTTTCGCTGCTCAAATCTCCTCCTCCTCCTCCTCCTCCTTCTCCTCCTCGTGTACGCACCGCGTGGCAACGTGCTTTTTGGTTGAGGCTGGCCCTGGCGTGGCCAATACCACCTGCCTGCTCGGGCGTTCGCCAGGGGGGGGGGGGCGGGGCGCAGCAGCAACAGCACCCGGAGTTGCGCGAGCGGAGCCCTTTTGCGAACACTGGACCTGCCCCTGCGCCGCAGTCGGCTGGGCGTAGAATCGCTCGCAGTGCAAGCTGGATGGCTCCCGGCCTCGCCACGACCGTGTCGAGCTCCGTGGTTGGCCAAGCATCCCTCGCGCATTACAGTCTTCAAGGAACGCAAGGGCGGCCCCATCACCCAGAGGTCTGCACCACTTGGCAAGGCTGTCTTCGCGAGTCTGCCTCTGCTCTCGTCTCTGCTCTCGTCTCTGCTCTCGTCTCTGCTCTCGTCAGTGCTCGTCATGCATCAGCCTCCACTTGGGCATGCTGCTGGTTGTCTTCGCCAGTGGCACGCAGCAGCCCCAGCATCAGCTGTTATGCGAGCATTGCCCTCGCGCGCACCTAACCAGCGTCCGCGCCACACCCTGCTGGGCGGAGCATTGCTCGTGGTTCAAGCTGCAGGGACCCTTCCCTCGCCAGGACAGTTATAGATCCGTTCTTGACCAACCAGGAGAATAATCAGAAACAGGAAGGGCAGGATCGGGAGCATGGAGGGGGAGGGCGAGCAGGAGGGCGAGGAGGAGGGGGATGAGAAGGAGGCGGAAGCCGAGGACAAGGAAGAGGAAGAGGAAGAGGAGGGGAAGGACGACGACGATGACGACGACGACCAGAGATCACCCGCCTCGTAGCGCTCACCCGCCCCGCGCAGATACTTCGGCGGAGAGATCTATCGGCACCGCCATCGCCAGAGCCGCCTGCCCACTGCGCGGCACTGGCGCCCGGGGTCCCTCGCCGTCGTCGGCGTCGTCTTCCGTCGTCGTCGCCGCCGTCGTTCTCCTCCTCCTCGTCGTCGCCGTCGTCGTCGTCGTCCTAATCGTCGTCCTCGTCGTCGTCGTCGTCGTCGTCCTCTCTCCCTCGTGGCCCGGGTGGCGGCGTTCGGTTGCCCCGTTGGCGTCCGTCTCCGCGGGGGGCGGCGGGGCGGCCTTGGCCACGGCCTTCCCCTCCCGGAGGGGGGGCGGGGCGTGGCCGGGGTGCATTGGCTCGGGGGGGGGGCCCTCGGGCTTCTCGTTGCCGCTCCCAGTCCTGGGTCAAGTCGGGCCTGCCCCTCTGCTGGAGGAGTATTCAAAAATAGTGGAAAAAATAGTATGAGGACGATGTTTTGAATATTTTTGTTTGTATGTTTGGCGAGTTTTTAATTGTTGTCATGTTTCCTCCAAAATCCGCCAGTAGGGGGACATGCCCGAGCTAACCCTTGAGGGATCGGTTTCGGCCCGTCAGTCGGGCCAGCCGCGTCGCGGCGAGGCATCTTGCCTGTGCACTGTTGGCAGCTGTCGGACTCCCCCATCCCTCTTCATCTATGATGTTCCAACCTACTTTAGCCTTGACCACCAGGAATAATTTCGAGCACCAGGAAAGTACCGCAACTTGAGGGTTTTCACGTGTCGGGCCCTGGGAGGCGATACTCGTTCGACACTGTTTCGACACTTTTCTGGGTGCTCGAAATGACTTCTGAAAGGTGGTCGTTAAGTACGATGGGAGCAACGTAACTCTTCACAGTTCCTTGTGATCCTCCTGACTGCCTCCTTCCCTTCCCTCTCTCCTCTCCATCTCCCGCCTCCCGGCCCCTCCTCCATTGCCGACATGCCTCGGCGCCATTGGTGCAACAGATTTGGTTGGCCAGAGTAATGCCACCACGCGGTCAGGAAAGAAATGAAGAGCCAGGCGCACTTAAACATCGCGTGGCCATTGAGTAAGACACCATATAGTTTCAGTCTCTGGCGGGACATCGAAGACGCCGATGGCGAATCTTCGCCGCCTTCTGCCCCCCCCACCGCAGATGTCAAATATGTCGGCGCCCCACCACGAAAAAAATCAGGATAAGGGGGCCGAACTGTCATTCATTGTTCCTGGTCGAGTGGGTGAAGTGAGGTTCCGCGGTTCGGATTGTTGTTGCGTTGTTTGTTTTCCGTTGTTTGTTGTCGTCGTCCCACCCGCAACCCACCCGCGACCCACCCGCAACCCACCCGCGATCCTGCCCGCTAACCGCCCGCGACCCACCCGCGACCCACCTCGAGACCCGTCCGCAACCCACCCGCGACCCACCTGCGACTCACCCGCGACCCGGCCCGCGACTCACCCGCGACCCACCCACGACCCACCCGCGACCCACCCGCATTTCTTCAACGAACAAATCGGCGCTGGCGGTGAGCTCCTTGCATGGTTTGTAAAGATTTGGCGCTTCTGGCGGGCTTCTTCCGAGCCTCGCAGACTGCCGACGTCCCCGCCGCCCCCTTACTCTTATCCGCAACTGAGGGGTGTCACGTACGCAATAACATAGCAATAACCAATTCATGACAACTGGTGCAGCAATTAGGACGCCCGCCGGAGAAGAGAACCGACACTGGCAACGCCATGTCGCCCCAAAACCCAGACGCACCGCGGGCCAATAACAGACGGATAACCAATGGGATCCCCACACGCAAAAAGTCTTCGGAATTCCAAACACGGGAGCGCCCCAGAGCCAGAGCAAGGATGAACTTCGGCCAGCCCCACCAGTTGGCCGAGACCATTCCGTAGCAAGCACGAGAGTCACAGGTTCCTTCATAACGAGTGTCATCGTTGAGGCTAGTCAAGTGGAGTACCCACCCCACGTAGTAACATGTCAAACCTCCAGAACCCTGTGGACTCCAGATTGTGTAAAAAAGAAGCTGGCACAATACTTCACACATTCCCGACACGACTGCCACTTCTATTCCGATACCATTGCGCCACAGTTGCGGGTAAAGAGCGACGGGTTCGGGAGGGGCCACCAGCACTATGCGAGATTCACCAGCAGATTTGAAGAAGCCCGCCGCAGGTTCCCATTCTTGTTCTCTACAGTCAAAGCGCCTAGTAAGGACGCGCGCCTTCATCTAGGGTGCCCTCGTGTCTTGCCGCTGAGGCCCGCCCTCTGCCGTTATGTTTGGCCGCCCGCCGCCCAAAGAGTCCCAACTTCGGCCTCCGAGGGTCAAGTCGGGCACGTCCTTCAACAGGAGGAGCATTCAGATGGCAAGACATCGTCTGGGTACGATGTCCTGATTGTTTGTGGGCATCTTCTTGTATGTTTTATTAGCTGCTAACGTTTCCCAAAGCATCTTCCTGTAGGAGGACACGCCCGATCTAATCCAAGGGTCTTGCGTCCTTGCCGCCCTTCCTTGATACACGCCTTGACGGTACACAACGAGCCCGCCACAGGCCCCAACTGTTTCGTCAAAGCAAGCGTGGGCGGGTCGCGGGTGGACGGATGGTGTGGGTAGTGGGTGCGAGTCGCGCGCCGGGTCACGGGCGGGTTGCCAGAGAGTCGCAGGGGGGTCGCGACCGGGTCGCGGGCCAGGACCAGGACGACGGCGAGAGGAAATAGCCGAGCACAGCAGCACGAGGCCGCACCTCGGAAGCCCACTTCAGGCACGCACCTGGCTTGGCATCGCTCGGACGTGTGCATTTTCCCCCGGCGAGGGTCATCGAGGAGCGTCCTTGATCATCTGGCGAAAAACCACGCACGAAACCGAAAAACACACAGGGAATGGACGTCCAAGCGATGGCGAGTAGCACCACCGCCCGGAAACCACTCAACCCCGTCCGCCGCACGAGAGGCGGGAGACAGTGTGAGCGACCGCCCCAGAGACCAGGATGTCCGACAGCATGTTCAAGATCTTCATTCGGTTGGCATATAATTCAGGAGGGTAAGAAACGCACAGACACAATTAATCGTCGATCCCCAGGAAAATATGGGAAAATATGGGAAGTGGGGGGGAAGAAGAAAACCCAGAGAATATGGAAAATATGGGCAATCCTTTTATTCGTGTGTATGTATTTGTATGTCCCAGGGCTCCTTTAATAATGCACCGTCCCGAGATCCGCGAGTAAAATTGTCCAGGCGAGTCGCCTTGATCAGGGAGGTGCAGGAGACGGCAACGGAAGGAACAGGGGGCTCAGCCGTAAGAGCCAAGTTCAGCATCAGCCGGAGCATACCCAGGATTGGAGTTGTTGAGTTTGACGTGAACAGGAGAACACTCGGGCGAAGAGAACTATGCACATGCACCGATCCTGGCAAGGCCCATCCATGACCCAGGATCGGTGCATATGCCTTCCTGGCCAAGGTAGGAGGGCGTATGCACCGATCCTGGGCTCAGGATGGGCCTGGCCAGAATCGGTGCATGTGCATAGTTCTGTTTCCTCTAAAAGACGGAGGAGAGAGTGGAGAAGGAGGATTGGTAGGAGGGAGGTAGACCAGTTTAAAACCAAGATGCATCAATGAGGTTGCAAGATGCCCTGCCACCAAGTTCCTTCTTTACAGGCCACTGCAAGCATTCATCTGCATTGCGGGAAGTCATCAACCGTGCCAAGACATCATTCATACGATTTCAACGCCGCAGATGAACGTGACTGCTGCGTCCGTACATCGCACCAGAACAAGCGTCTTGGGATTTCAAACATACGAGTTCTTAGATTTGTTGCGAATTATCACAAAATGTGTGCAGCGCTAAAGGGAAAATAACCGCCCTCTACCCTTGAAACTGCTGCAACCGTTTGAGACGAATGCGCGCGGCGATAGGGTGAGAATCCGATTTGGTAAATTACCCGCCCTCCCTCCTCGAAGCTACTTCAAACTATGAAGACGACTGCGCGCGGCGTTACGGCGAGAGTAACATTCAGAACCACCCGCCCTCCATCCTTGAATCTGCTGAAGATGTCCAGCCTCAGGTTCATAAGTGGTGGCGGAGGCTCTTGCGGAACGCCCGGCCCACCCTGCCAATACGTCTTGGGGCACGACAGAGAACATTCTTCATAATGGAACGGGAAACGAGAGATGTGGGAGGAGGCGGAGGGGGAGCTGAAGGAGGCGGAGGCGGAGGTGGATGATGATGAGGAGGAGGAGGAATAGCGAAAGCATGAGGAAAGTAGGATTGATGAGGAAGGAGGCGCCGACGACGACGAAGACGACATTTACGAGGTCGAGGAGGCCTAGACAAGGAGGAGGAGGAGGAGGAGAAGGAAGACGCCGACGATGGCAGAAGTCAGCCATTAAGTCCTTCGCGGACTTTCTTTTCTGAGATCCTCTTGTAAGCCTTGTGGAGCCACATTGGAATGCCCATGTGGTCATTTTAGGAGCTCTCGGTGTTGCCCCCTTCGATTACTTTTGGGGCTAGTGGAGGCCCTCGTGGAACCATCTTCGAGGACATCGATCAAATAAGAGGGCGACTCAATTAGGACTGCATGTCACAGTGGGCCTGCATGTCTTGAGCCCAGGATCTGGACTCGCGAAGCGCTCTTGGGCGCTATTGAGGCTATCCTGGAGCTCCTGGGGCTCTCGTGGTAAGGGTCCTCTTAGGACTCGGGAGCCCGTCGTAGACGAAAGCGCGAGGCGTTGTGCGAAGAGTGTTGGCCTTTTGCGGGCATTTATGGGAGGCTCCGTGGTCGTCTCGGCGTGTTCTTTTGGACCTCTTGGGCGCATGCTGGAGTGCATACCGAGCCAACTTACACTGTGCCACCACGAGGGTGCGAGGGTAGTCGCGCTTCGCGGTCTGGGCGATTGCAGAGCGAGGCGCGAGTCCCTCGTCCTGTTCCAGGGGGGAGCGGGGGGCGGCGCGAAGTCACGACGGTCGCTCTCTTGCTGAGCGCGAAGCGCGAACATGTTTGCCCTAGAAAGGGGGTTGGAAGTGGAAGCCCACTGCAGGCCCCAGCGACGACACCTCTACATATATTTATACACACACGTGCTCAATCGTCGACTTCCCAGTGGGGCGCTCGCAACTTTTCCATCTATTGCTCAACTGTCTTCACCTCGCTGGCGACACAGTGTATGGCCGGTTGCCCATATTCACACGCATGCCCACTGGCAGATCGTGAAGTGCTTGCGTCCCTGAGAACAGGGGAGGACATATGATATCCACGTATGGAACTCACAGAAGACGGCCAGGGTTTGCAAGGACATGTTCGGTACGAAACCAGCGGCGTTGTCATAACATACTATCCAGCATTTCACGGGCTCCCGCCGTGTAGCTTGGCAGCGCGGATTTTCACTCCATCCAGCGGAAAGGCACCGACGTGTACATCTACATCTGAGCGCGGTGGTAGAGACAAACTTGACGAGGACGGTGGAGGAGCACGATGAGGTATCGGAAGAACGATCACATTTATGATTCGGAGGAGAGTGGAAGGGGCAGGAAGACGTGACGGCTATCGCGAGAGCGGAGTAGGTTTTTCGAAGGAGGCAGCGAGGAGGCAGAGGACGACATCGGTCATGAGGAGTGAGACAAGAAAGGAGCAGGAGGAAGAGACCGGCTACGCCGAGGAGATCTGGCCCCGCCTCCGTCACTCTGCCCCTCGGGGTCGGGACAGCGGTTCACTGCCGCGTTGATCCAAGGTCGCCCTCGAGGGCGCGAAGATACGCGAAGCTGCTCGCGCTTCGCTGTTCGGCTCTGATCCCCCCTCGTCCTCATCCCCCTCCTCCTTCTCCGCCTCCTCCTCCACCTCCTCCGCCTCCTCCTCCTCCTCCTTCTCCTCCGCCTCCTCCTCCTCCTCCTCGCGCGTCGCGCTTCGCGCTTCTCCACTGGGGGGCGGCGCGAGCGTGCGAAGCCCCCGGCGCTCCGCGCGGCGCGGGGCGCGACGGTGGGTGGGGGCCCGTGCGTGGACCCGGCTGCTCGCGGCGTGCGGGGACCTGCGGGCGGTCGGCGGCCGCAGGGTCGGCCACCTCTCTCTCCGAGCGGGCGAGAGGGCCAGCATCCGGAGGGAGCAACAACCCACAGAGACACGATGAATCGCCGATTCCCCAGGAGAACTATGGGAACTGATGGGCAGTGGGGGGGGGGGGAAACAAAAAGACATATGGTTTTTGAACATATGGGGAACAAGACCACACAGACACAATGAATCGTCGATTCCCCAGGAAAAAAAGATGGGAAAATATGGAGAAAGTGGGGGGAAGACAGATCTAAAAACAGAAAGTGGGGGGGGGAAGACAAAACAAATCTGGAGAACTTGGGGGGGGGGGGGGGGAAATATTGAGAAAGTGGGGGGAAAGAACACGCAGACACAATGAATCGTCGGTTCCCCCGAAAAATATTGGAAAGTATGGAGAAAGTGGGGGGAAGACACAAAAAAACCCAAACCTGTAAGAACAGATGGGGGATCCTGTTATGTGTGTGTGTGTATTTCTTTGTGTGCCCCAGGGCCCAAAATCAGGAGGGAAACACACACAGACACAATGAATCGTCGATTCCCCAGAAAATATAGGACATATGGAGAGGGGGAAAACAAAAAAAGACCCAAACATGTCGGAACAGATGGGGGAACCTGCTATGTGTGCGTGTATTTCTTTGTGTGCCCCAGGGCCCAAAATCAGGAGGGAAACACACACAGACACAATGAATCGTCGATGCCCCAGAAAAAAGATATGGAAAATATGGAGAAAGTGAGGGGGAAGACAAAACAATACCCGTAAAAATGTGGGAACAGATGGGGGACCCTGCTATCTGTGTGTATTTCTTCGTGTGTGCCCCAGGGCCCCTTCCAACCCTGACCGTCCAGAGAGCTATTTTTCAGCACTGGAGACCTAAAAAACCTTTTTTTTTTAAAAAAAAAAAAAAAAAAAAAAAAAAAAAAAAAAAACGAAACGAAACACAAGACGTAACATAACTCTGGGATAGGTTTTTAAGTCGCGTGCTATTTTTTAGCCCTCCTGGAAGGTCAGGGCAGGGCCCCTTCCAAAGAGGGCCGCGCCTCGGGCGAGGAGGTCCGGGCGCGTGCGCCGGGCCCCCCCGCCGGGGTTCCCCGCCGCCGGGCCCAATGGAGCGGTGCGCGCGCCGCCCCGGCCAGGCCGAGAGGGCGTCGTGCGCCGACCACTGGTCATCGGGGGCGGCAAAGAAGGGGGTGATGACTAGGGGGGGAGTGGATTTCATGGCGCCTCTTCTGTTTCTTCTTGTTTCATTACGTCGCTCCCCCCCCGCTGGGCCGCGCACATGCCGCCGGTCATGATTTGCGCCCCCCCCTCTTGGACACCCCCCTCTTGGCCGCTCCCGAGACCACTGGTCAGGAGGGGAAGAAGCACACAGACAAAATGAATCGGCGATCCCCAAGAAAATATGGGAAAATATGGGATGTGGGGGGGGAAGACAAAAACTTCGAAAATACGGGAAACTATGGGGAATGTGTTTATGTGTGTGTATTTCTTTGTGTGTTTGTGGGCCCCTTCAACTGGGGGCTCCCAGATATGCCCGGGCCCGGAGGTGGGTGTCCGTGCCTCGCCGTTTGTCGGGAGCGGCAAAGAGGGGGGTGATGACCAGGGGGGGGGGGAATATCACTCTGCACGAACGAAAGGGGTATGGAAAGAATGGGTACGATGCCCAACAGCAGTTCCTGTTCATTTTGGACAGGCCTCGCTGTCCGCGCCGCCGCGGCTTGTGTCCCTTGGAGACAGGAGGCCGCCTGCCCAACAGCGGCCGCTGTTGGTTTGGGCTAACATTTGTTGTTTGGCATTGTGCCCATTCTTTCCGTACCCATTTCGGGCGTCCAAACGTTTGTCGGGGGCGGCAAAGGGGGGGGTGATGACTAAGGGGGGGGTGGATATCATGGCGGGGGCCATGATATTTCCCCAGATGTCATGGCGTTTTTTCTTATCTCACTACGTCCCTGGCCACCCCGCTGGGCCGCGCACGTGCCGCCGGCCATGATTTCCGCCACCCCCTCTTGGACGCCCCCCTCGTGTCCGTGCCTCGCCGTTTCAGAGGTGGATCGACCTCCTACCCTAACACGTCGATTAGTGAATTGTCCGTTTTCGGTTCGCGAGAGGGCGTCGCGGCCGTCATTTTTGCGGGTCCAGGTCCGTCGGTTTCGGTCCCAGGCCGTTTTCGCTAAGGGGAGGTTTACTAAAGGGAGGTTTGCCCACCGCCGAAAGAATGGCATAAACATCCAAACTCGGAGGTCCGCGCGGATTTCTCGGATCTGCGCTGGACCACCCTGGCGGCGCCTCCAGCGCCGCCCCTGGCGCGCTCCGCGCGCCAGGGAGGGGGTCCAGCGCCGATCCGAGAATCCGCGCGGACCTCATAGTTTTGTGCTCACGTCATTCTTCGATCCCCCAGCCATGGGGGGAGAGGGTCTTGTGGAAAACGGGTCCTGAGGTTGTTTCGCTGTTTTTCGCCGTTTTCGGGCCCCGGGACTGGCAGAGAACAGCTCGGCAGGAGCAGCTCGTCCGGGGGAAAGGCACCAGGGTCCAGGGCCCATTTCTCCATCGTGGCCCGCTTCCCCCATGCTAAGTTTGAGTCGGGCCTGTCCCCCTACAGGAGAATTTTCGACGACAAATAATAAATACCCTAACAATAACCCAAAAATAGTCCAACAGCGAAGCGATCACACTTTTTCAGGATGTGTCAAGCGAAACCAATAATTTTGGGAGGCAGACTCAAACGAAACGAGCAATGTTCTTATTATTATTATACTTTCCTCTTCTTCTTTTATATTCCTATCTGTCCTCACGCTCGCCTGAACTTTTTTTATCCCTGGGGTTGATTATCCATGGAAAATGAAGCACATGAGCTACCCCCCTACACGAGCACTAAAAAAAACAATTTTCATAAAGCGCTTGTAAATTAAAATTGATAGATTTGGAACTTTGGATGTTTCCTTTCTTCGTCCTCTTCTTATTCTCCTCTTCTTCTTTCTTATTATTATTCTACTGTATTCTTCTTCTTTTATATTTCTCTCTGTCCCCACGCTCGCCTGAACTTTTTTATCTCTGGGGTTGATTATCCATGGAAATTGAGGCACATGAGCTACCCTACACGAGCACTTACAAAAAACAATTTTCATGAGAGATAAGCCATTGTTGAGGATATTTCTATGAAAACTAAACGCCAAGGATGTCTCAAAACGTGCTCGGCTTGGTCTCCTCTTGATCATCTCTTACTTCGAGATTATGCTGAGGTCTGCTGGGCTACTTTTATTATCTCTCCCTGAACCCCGAACTTTATTATCCCCTAGAGTTTATTCTCACGGGCATGAGGTTATCGGAGAATCTACCTGCAGCTGGTTTCGGCCTCGCCGCCAGGCCCTTCCCTCGGACCTTTCCTGGCGCTGGGAGCTAGCAGCAACCAGGAGTCACCGGGGAAGCCGTGGGCGAGAAACGTGACCTGTCCGTATCCGCGGCATCGCGGGCTGGGCCTTTGGGCCGCGAGCCGGCGGGAAACGGGTCCTTTTTGTTGCGGATGCCCCGCGCGGTGCCTACCACCCACCAAGCGACGGCGTATCTCATTGCCCACCAAGGCACCCCAACCCAACCCGAAGGCCCCAATCTGCTCCCCGCTCCCAGTGGTGGGGGGGGGCGTCGGGGAAGGCTGAATATACATGTGAAGCGCGTCCCCCCCCCAAACCCGAATTTCGGGTCTTCGGGTTGGGTTGGGGTGGTGTGGTAGGTAGGCGTAAGTCGGGCCTGTCCCTCTACAGGAGGAGTATCCAAACATAGTTTAAACATATTCTGGGGACGATTATTTTACTATGTTTGAACTTGTTTAATTTCTCGCCCAAAATCCCCCTGTGGGGGACAGGCCCGACCTCAACTTAGGCAGGGGAGGGTCGGGTACAGCGAGGACCCCAGGTCAGGGGACCCGGTTAGCGGTAAGGCCCTGGCGCCCCTGAATTGGCCAGACTCGCTGAACCAGGTTTGCCGCAGTTGGTGTTTTTTCGGGTGACGGCAGTTCCGGCTAGCGGAATGGGGCGGGGGGGCGTCCCCCAGCACAAGTCTCACAAGACCAGGTCCCACTAAGCGGGGAAACAAAAACACACACACACACAGACTCTTCCCAGACTCTTCTCAGTGTGTTTGTTTTGTGTGTGTTTTTTTTCCCCACGGACTCTTCTCAGTGTGTGTGTGTGTGTGTGTTTGGTTGTGTTGTGTGTGTGTGTGTGTGTGTGTGTGTGTGTGTGTGTTTGTGTGCTTGCATGCGTGGATGAAGAGGAGGAGCGGTCTGGCGGGATCGCGCCCCAGACTCCAGACCGCGAGGGCACGAAGAGCGAAGATGTGTGCGGCTCGCGCGACTCACCACAGAACCCTTCCCCCTTCGGGCGGCCCGACCGTCGCCCCGTACACCCCCGTAGGACGCCGTGGTGCCATTCCCGCAGCACAGCTCCCCCGCCAGGTACCCTCTCACTTTCCCATCGTGGCGCGACACTTGGCATCGCTCGGACGTGTGCATTTTTTCTCGGTGAGGACCATCGATGAGCATCTTAGATCACCATGAGAAACAACAAACGCTCGAAATCGAACAATGCACGGGGAAAGGCCGTCCGAGCGACGGCGACGGCACGAGCCAGACGCTGTTTTGGCGACTTCGTGGACCGTTTTCGTTCTGATTCAGTTTCTCGGCAAAGGCAGGGCAAAGAGAGAACAAAGGAACACAATAACGAAACCAAAACGAAAAACATTGTTTAGTTCCAGCCTTGGCACAGCTCCCCCGCCAAGTGCCCCCCTCTTCCTCCTGTTCTTCCTCCTCCTCGTCCTCGTCCTCCCATTGCTCCTCTCCCCCCTACTCCTCCTCGATCCTCATCCTCCTCATCCTCCTCCTCCTCCTCCTCCTTCGGATCTTCCCCGCCATCCTCCCCCAAGTGTTCCTCGAAGGGGTTCCACAACGGTTGGGGGAACACATGGTCCGATATCTTGGCAGAGCTCTTGCCATCACGCTCGGTCACATGGGCGATTGCAAAAGGCAGGGGGCGATTCCTCGTCCTCCTCCTCATCCTCCTCCTCCTCCTCCTCCTCCTCCCCTCGTGGCGCGATTGTGGCGCGGGGCGAGCACGCGCGCCAGCGCGCCGCGCCGCACCCCTCCGCGAGCCGACGCGCGGCAGCTCGGCCTGGGGCGCGCTTGCGAGGGGGCGGAGAAGAAAAGGGCGCCGCCTCCGCACCCGGTGCCTCGAAAGAGCACCCCACCGGCGCTCGTCGACGACGGCGGCGGCGACGACGACGATCACGACGACGACGACGACAAAGACGACAGCGACGACGACGACGAGCACGACGACGGCGACGACGACGACGATCACGACGACGGCGACGACGACGACGACAAAGACGACGACGACGACGACGACGACAAAGAACACAAAGACCACAAAGACGAAAACGACGACGACGACGACGGCGACGGCGACGGTGACGGCGACCACGGCGACTGCGAAGACGGCGCCGCCTCCGGCCTGGTGCCTCGAAAGAGCGCCCCGCTGGCGCCCGTCGTCGGCGGGCGCGGCTCGAGAGTGATGATGCTCAGATTCACTTCAGCTTTGATCACCAAAAAGAACTTCGAACACCAAGAAAGGACGAAATTGGAGATTTTTCGCGCGTCGGGCCCAGCGAGGCGATGCCCGCTCGACACTGTTTCGATACTTCTCTTGGTGCTCGAAATCATTTCTGGTATGTGGTCCTTGGGTACGATGGGAGCATCGTAAAGTCGAGAGCGGTGGTCGGGCCAGGGTCAGTCGGCGGCTCGCAGATGATGGTTTCGATGGTGATGTTTGCTCCAGCGCTGCCGAACTGCCGTGGCGCGGCAAAATATGGGCTCACAGACTCCGAGCTGGATGTGTGGCCTCGGTGATAAGCTCGGCTTCAGTCGGGGCATGGTCCGCCGGGCGTTTTCGTCCGTACTCAACGGTGTTCAGCCTCAGGATGCGTTTCAGCAGCTGCGCCTCGCCGAGAGGCGTCCTGGGCTGCCCTGATCGTCCCGAACGGCAGCCGGAGAGTCGAGTTGCGCCAGAAAGTTTTCGTGGGGAGGAGGGTTACATGGGCAACGATAGGAAGGGATAAGCTCAAGGGGGGGGGGTATTTAGGGACCGCCGACCGCCCATTGGGGCCCGATAGTCCACCCCGCCCAGGACCTCGCGGATTGCCACCGTGGGCACGTAAGCGATCTTTCGGCGATGTATCGCCAATTGACAGAGCGCATTCTGTGGGGCGATGGGGGGGGGGCGGGGCTCGCCGGCGGCGAGCGTCTTCGGGAGGCGAAGTTTGCTGAAGAGCGGGGACCGCGTCTGCGCGGCTGGTCCAGGGCAGGTTGTCGACGGCGACTTGATGCAGCCGATTCCACTTCCCTGTGCTCTGTGCTGCGAGACGTCTTCATGTTTTTCTTCTCCTTCTCCTCCTGCGCCTCCTCTGCCTTCTCCTTCTCCTCCTCCTACTCCCGCTTCCCCTCCTCCTCTGCCTTCTCCTCCCCATTCTCCTCTTCCTCCTCTTCCCTCCTCCTCCTCCACCGCGTCCTCCGGTGCCAGAACGAGCCCCATGTGTGCGTGGACGACGACAGCGATGACGAGCTGTGGTGCCATGCTGGGCTGGGGAGCCAAGAGGGAGAAGCGGATGCGTTGCGGAGGAGGCGGACGAGGGCCATGAGCGAGGAGAGGAGGAGGATAAGCGGAAGGCGTCGACGCGGAAGGGGTGACAGCAAACCGTGACATGGAATGATGAATACAACAAGTGTTGGTTCCTTCAGTTCCAGGGATCCCGGCAGCGTCCATTCTGTTTGTTGAGGGCCATGAACACTCCCGCGCCTCGACGTGCCCAACCTTGCCCACCCTTTCTTCCCTCGAGCTCATCCCCCTCATGCCCCCGTCCCTTCGCAACCCCTCCGACCCCCACCACCTCTCTCCTCCTATCCTCCCTCCCCCCCCCGCCCACTACCCCCCTCCGCCGCCGTCGCCGTCTCTGGTCCGTGAGCTCCCAGCGCCCCCCTCCGCCCACCCCCCCCCGCTCCTGGGGGAGAGAACGTCGTCGTCGTCGTGCGTCGACGGGGACGATCTCCGCAGGAGGAGGAGGAGGAGGAGGAGGAGGAGGAGGAGGAGGAAAGGCGGAGGAGGAGGAGGAGGAGGAGGGTGAGGATCGTGGGGATGAAGGGGAAGATGGGGGAGATGGGGGAGAGGGGGCAGAAGGGGGGAGGAGGAGGAGGAGGAGGAGGAGGAGGAGGAGGAGGAGGAGGAGGAGGAGGAGGAGGAGGAGGAGGAGCTCCTGGCGCCATGGGGGCCGCGGAGTCCGCTCTGGGCCTGCCGCACCGGGTCAACCTCGTGTACGGAGGCCGCCACGCGCTGGCCAAGCTGGGCCGCGGCGACTGCCCGGCGGGGGTGGTGGCCGCCCACACGCTGCTGAGCTCGCCGCGGCGGCGCAGCCACGGCGACCACAAGTGGCTCCTCGAGGGCGCCGGCGCGGAGCACGGCGAGGATGGGAGCGCCACGCGATGCGTCGTCCGGAGCGACCACCACCCCCAGAGGTTCCTCTGCGCCCGCGGCGCGGTCGAGCTCGTCAGCGGGGCCAGGGACGAGAGCCGGCTCTGGGAGATCGAGTACCTCCACGACCACCCGCTGCGGACGGACGCGGTGAAGCCGCCGTTCCGCCTCCGCAGTCTCGGCAAGCCTGGCAGGCCCTACCTGGTGGTGGACGCTGACCTCGGCGGCGTCGCGCTGCAGTCGGAGCGCCCCGCCACCCTGTGGGAGTTCTTCGACGCGGCCGGCAGCACCGCGAGCCTCCAGGTTCAGGAGGGAAGAAAACACACAGACACAATTAAATCCTCGATCCCCCAGAACATATGGGAAAATGTGGGAAGTGGGGGGGGGAAGACAGAAGCCCAGAAAATATGGGAGAATGTGGGGGATATGTTTATTTGTGTGTATTTATTTGTGTGTCCCAGGGCCCCTTCACAGGTGACCTTCGCCCGCAGCCTCAGCGGCTCCCTCTGCCGCGACGAGTCCCCCGTGCGGCGCGCGCCGTCCGCGGTGGCGGAGGCGTGGCAGCTCAAGCAGGTGAGCGGCAGTCTGGAGGACAGCCTCTGGCGGGAAGGGGGGGCTCAAGTCGGGTTCGTTTTTCGGACAATTCGGGCGTCCAGGGCCCCGAGTCATCCGGGGTAACACGGGTCAGGGATAAGTCGGGTTCGTTTTTCGGATAATTCGGGCGTCCAGGGCCCCGAGTCATCAGGGGTAACACGGGTCAGGGATAGCTCGGGTTCGTTGTTCGGGATTCCGAACCCGAGTTACCCCGGACCCGAGTTACCCCGGATAATTCGGGCGTCCAGGGCCCCGAATCATCAGGGGTGATTCGGGTCAGGGCTAACTCGGGTTCGTTTTTCGGGAATCCAAACCCGAGTTACCCCGGACCCGAGTTACCCCGGATAACTCGGGCGTCCGGGGCCCCGAATCATCAGGGGTAATTCGGGTCAGGGCTAACTCGGGTTCGTTTTTCGGGAATCCAAACCCGAGTTACCCCGGGCCCGAGTTACCCCGGATAACTCGGGCGCCCAAAGAGGGGGGTGAGGGGAGGGGGGAGGGCTTCTTAGAAGGCGCGGGCCTTGTCGATAGATGTCAGGCCGAACACCGACGTACATGAATCCACGCCGGTTTCGAGAGTACGCATTGCCCGAAAGTTCGTATCGCGCGGCCGGTCTCGCAGATCGAGGGGCCGCGTTCATGTGCATAGCTGGGTGCGTACGTCCTTGGTGGGCTCCCTAGGTGAGGGGAGGGGGAGGGCTTCTTAAAAGCACCCCTGCTTCTTAGAAGGCTTGGGCCTTCTCTATAGATGCAAGGCCGGCGCCTTCCAAGAAGCAGCCTCCTTCTAAGAAGCCCTCCCCCCTCCCTCCACCCCCTTGTGCGCGCCGCCACGAACCCCAGCCCGAAAGAGCTATCAGGGCCCCTCCTTTCGGCAAAAGGATGCAACTCCCCGCAACGGGAAGCGTTATCCTGGCACCCGCCGTCAGCAGGCACCCGCCGTCAGCAGGTCCTTGCGTTCGTGCCGCCAGTCTGTATTACAAATGTCTGTATTACAAATGTCTGTATTACTGAAGTTATCGTTCGGCCAAATCCTCCCTGGACTTCATTAATGTCGGTGCGGTGCTACTGATAACCCTGGGGGGGTCTGAATATTTTCTCAGGGTTACCTTGCTGATCCAATCCACGTTGGGGTATCGGACACCCACCTTCGGCTTCACTGGGCCGCAGACATCTCTCGAAACCTGACCGCCAGAGCCAGCGCTTCAGAACTCTGACTCGCAGGGCTGGGGTTCACATGTACCTGCCCAGGGCTGGATATTCGGATGAAGTTGTAGAGGGGTCCCATAGGGGGGCATCCGTGGCCACGGTTTCGCGCTGCTCCGAAAGCCCCTCCAGGTTTGGGGGCCCCACGGCGGGGCACGGTGGCGCTGTGGTTCGACGCTTGAGCAAGCCGCGCTGCTGGCTCTCCCCGCTCTCCTTCTCACGCCCGGGCGTCGCTCCGTCCAGGTTCGTCGTTGAGGCATCGCTCGGACCTGTGCGTGCTGTTCTCGACGAGGGCCCACGAGGAGCTTTGTGGGTCCTCTTGCGACAACATACACACGCAAGGCATCGAATCATGCAAGGGGAATGGACGTCCGAGGGATGGCGGGTCCTCGTTTTGCGTTGTTTCCCCTGCGAGGTTGTTCTCGACGAGGGCCAACGAGGAGCCTTGTGGGTCCTCTTGCGACAAAACAGCGCAAGAAATAACATAACGCAAGGGGTATGGGCGTCCAAGGGATGGCGAGCCCTCGTTGTGCGTGGTTGCCCCTGCGAGGTCGGGCCTCCCGTGGGGCCGCTTGCCGCCGCCCTGCCACCCCGCCACCGTGCCCTGGGCTGTGGGAGCCGGGGGCCTCGCGAATGCCTCCCGGAGGCGATAGTAGGTCGGGCATGTCCCTCTAAAAGAGCACTCACTCATATTAATACGAATAATAATACGAATCAATAATAATAATAATAATAATAGAAACGCTCACTAATAATAATAATAATAATAATAATAATAATAATAATAATATTAATAATAATAGAAGCACTCACTAATAATAGTAATATTAATAGAAGCACTCACTCACTCTAAAAGAGCACTCACTAACAATAATAATAATAATAGTAATAATAATAATAGAGACAAGCGCACTCGACTAGTCTGGTGTTGGTGCTTCGCGCGCCTTTCATAATTATGTATTGTTGGTTCCCTGGCAATGGTTATGTCTGTCTTCCAGGGTCCGTCTGTAGGAGGATATGCCCCACCTAACCCCGATTCTGAACCTCGCCCCTGCCAGGACTCCTTCGGCGACTGGCACCCCAGAGCTCCTCCTAGCCTTCCTCCTCCTCCTCCTCCTCCTCCTCCTCCTCCTCCTCCCACTTCCCCTCCCCCTCCCCCTCCCGCTCCTCCTCCTCCTCCTCCTTGCTCATCTTCGTCCTCCTTCTCCTCGTTTTCCTCCTCCTCCTCCTCCTCCTCCTCCTCATCATCACATCATCATCATCATCATCATCATCATCATCATCATCATCATCATCATCATCATCATCAACTCCTCCTCCTCCTCTTCCTCCTCCTCCTCCTCCTCCTCATCTTCCTCCTCCTCCCCCTCCTCTTCCTCCTCCTCCTCTTCCTCCTCCTCCTCCTCCTGCTTATCCTCCTCCTCCATCTCCTCCTCCTCCTCCTCTTCCTCCTCCTCGTTGCGTTCTTCTCCTTCCTCGCCACCGAAGGGTGGTCCCTCTTTGGGACGGAGGAATCCCCCCGCATGGGCGCTTGTTGGCGCTAAGTTTACAGCGTTCGCAGAGCCATCCTCCATAGCATCGAAGGCGCCTACGGCGAATCAGCGCCGTCCCCTGCCCCGTAGGATACGACTACGTGGCCAAGCGTTTGGGCAAAGCTTGGCCATGCTATAGGATCATGCGTTCCCCCAGCCGTTGTGGAAGCCTGTCGGGGAACACGTGGGAGAAGGGATGAGGAGAGGGAGGAAGGAGAAGGAGGAGGAGTCCTCTTGGGAGCCACTTGGGGCACTCTTTCGGCCTCCTGGGAGCTTCCTGGGCGTCTCATGGGGGCCTCTTGGGGGTCTCCTTGGGCCTCCTGGGGGCCCTTGTGGGCTTCTCGGGGGCTTCTTTGGCCGTCTTAGGGCATTCCTGGCCCGTCTGACGCCGTCGGATTGCGTCTTGGGAGCCTCTCTGAATCGACTTCGGGCCCTCTTGGGGTGTTTCAGGGCCGTCTTCTAGTCAATCTTACAGGCCTTGGAGGCCACTGTGGCCGTCTTGGGGCCCTCTCGGGGCCGTCTTGGAGGCTTGTTGGACCGAATTGGGGACATCTTGGAGGCCTCTTGGGCGATATTGGGGGGATCTTCGGGGCCTCTTGGGCCGTCTTGGGCCGTCGGAAGCCGAAAATAAGCAAATGACAACAGCTCCCAAACACGTGAGGACAATGTATGGTTTTTGCCTCCTTGCGCTTTCCTGGGGGCCCTTTGCGAGGTCTCCTGGGCAGTCCTGTAGGCCTCTGAGGCCGTCTTGGGTGAATCTTGGGCTGGTTTGTGCTTGCACGTGAAGGAAGTCAAGAGGGGTTTTCTATATGTCGCCCCTTTGGCTCTCTTACTCTTGCTTCACTTAGCTTTTCTGGTCCATAGTCGATGGACGGGCTCGCCATCCCTGGCGGGGCGGCCGCCTTGCCGGCCTGGGTGGTGCTGGCGCTGGAGGCCGCGGCTTACCTGGGGCCAGGGTGGGGCCCACGGCAGGCAGCCTGCCCTGACATCTCTTGCCCCGCCTGCCCGGCGTGTCCAGGGCCGGCAGCCTGCCCTGAGGCCGTGGCTTGCCCGGCTTGCGAGCCGCCTCCCTGCGCGGCCTGCCCGGCCTGCGAGCCGCCTCCGTGCGCGGCTTGCCCTGCCTGTGAGGCCAGGGCTTGCCCGGCGCCGACGGCGGGCGAGAGGGCGGTCGAGAAGCTGATTGGCGCGCTGCTCGGAGGGGTGGTGCACTGGCTGGTGGGAAAGGTGATAGCCCACAGGCATGTCGACGCTCGTGGGGTGGTTCCGCGGAGACGCGGGGCGGGAGTGGTGGACTAGAGCGCTCCCAGGAGAGCGGGTGGTCTGCCGATTCTCTGACGACGACGTCGACCATGAGCGAGTGCTGCTGCACTACGTGGCAGAGGGAGAGTGGGTCATCCTGACCCCCGACGGAGACATCTACGTGGAGGACATGAGCTGCGAGAGCCCCGAGTCGCGGGCCTTCCCGCTGGCGCTGCGGACGCAGAAGATGCGGAGGTTGTATCGCTTCCGAGAGGCCATGGGGCCCGACGAGCTGGCCGACGCGCTGACACGGGGCCGAGAGGCGGCGCTGGAGATAGACGCCGCCCTGCCCGAGCCGAGGGAGGCTGTGGCCGTGAGCGGCCAGCGAGTCTTTTGGCAGGAGGCCTCGGGCAGGCTGTCGGCCGCGGAACGGGCCAACCTGCTGCGTCTGGGCATGGCCGTGGCTCGCCTAGGCGGGAAGCTTCTGGAGGCTCCTGTGGCGGGCCAGGCCTGGATCGCCCTCAGCGGCGGGCCCGGCGTCGCGGTCGGGTCGGAGGTCGTCGTGACGGACAGCGAGGGCCTGAGCTTCGAGGGCGGTCCCGAGCCTTTCGGCGTGCTGAGGACCTCCGACGGCAGCATGGTGCGACTCGTTCGTCTGGATGCTGGAGCAGCCCCAGGGCGCGTGAGCGAGGAGGCCGCGGTCTGGCAAGACCTAGGCAGAGGCCATGGCCGTGCCGCGGGCCCCGAGCGCCGACGCGCTGAGGCCGCGGAGCCACTCGAGGATGAGGGTCCCGCTGAGCGTGTCGGCGGCACCGCCACGCCCGAGCTGGCGCTGCCTCCCGTGGCGGAGCCGCTGGGGGAGGAGAGAGACGCCGACGCCCGCACGCTCTGGGTCGACTACGACGAGCAGGGCGAGCGCTTCAAACGATGGCGGGACGTGGTAGGCGAGTCGAGGCAGGAGCACTACCCGGACGCGAAGGTGGACGGGCCGCCGGGGGCTCTCCACATGCTGAAGCACATGGA